TCTTTGCAATTTGATTGAAAACATTTCCCGGGACTTTGAATTATTTGCGTTAGGCATTTTGAATCCCTCGGGAATTTTCATGTATATCTCATTATCAAGTGAGCCATAAAGGTAGGCGGTAACCACATCCATTAAATGCATGTCAAGCTTTTCATGGACAGCAAAACTAATGAGATAACGGAACGTTATAGCATCCATAACGGGTGAATATGTCTCTTCATAATTGACACCAGGCCTTTGTGAAAATCCTTGTGCAACAAGGCGTGCCTTATATCTTTGTACCTCGTTTTTCTCATTTCTCTTGCGTACAAAGACCCATTTATAGCCAACAGGCTTAACACCATTAGGTGTTTGGACTACAGGCCCAAAAACTTCACGTTTTGCAAGTGAATTCAACTCTGATTGGATTGCTTCTTGCCATTTTGGCCAATCAAGTCTTTGTCGACATTCTCCAACAGATTGAGGTTCAAGATCCTCACTTTCTTGCATAATGCTAGATGCAACATTATATGCAAAGACATAATCCACCACTATATCCACTCGATTCAAATTTGTCTCAATATCGATTGGATTTATTGATAGTTCCTTATTTTCTTGAGCCTCGGGCTCAATGGATTCCTCATGAATCTCATAATTTATTAAATCGTGGATTTCTTCATGAGATTCTTTCGTAGTGTCATTTTGATCATTTGTTTTCCTTTTTCTAGGATTTCGATCTTTGGAACCTAATGGTCTGCCACGTTTTAGGCGTGCTTTTGACTCATTAGCTATGACACTAGAAGATTGTCCAATAGGGACATCAATACGGATTGGAACATTCTCTGCAGGGATATGCGATTTTGTTATCCTTTTTAAATCCGTAAATGCGTCTGGCATTTGATTTGCTATTCTCTGCAAATGGATAATCTTTTGCACCTCTTTTTCACAAATAGAGGCACGTGGATCAAGATGAGATAATGATGGATTTTTCCACAAAATTTTCCGTTTGGTTTCACCAACTTCTCCCCCTAATTTTGGGAAAAGTGTCTCATCGAATCGACAGTCTGCAAATCGTGCAGTAAACAAATCCCCCGTCAATGTTTCGAGGTAGCGAATAATGGAGGGCGATTCAAACCCAACATATATTCCTAACCTTCTTTGCGGACCCATTTTGGTGCGATATGGTGGTGCTACAGGCACTTATACTGCGCATCCAAAAATTCTTAAATGGGATATATTAGGTTCATGACCCAAAACCAATTGCAACGGGGAATATTTATGATAATTTGTCGGTCTGAGACGAACTAGCATTGCTACATGCAAAATGGTGTGACCCCAAAACAGAAGTGGGAGCCTCGTTTTCATGAGTAACGGTCTTGCTATCAATTGCAGACGTTTAATTAAAGACTCTGCAAGACCATTTTGAGTGTAAACATGAGGTACAGGATGTTCCACTTTTATCCCAATTGATAAGCAATAATCATTAAATGCTTGGGATGAAAACTCAGCAGCATTATCAAGTCTAATAGACTTAATTGGATTATCGGGAAATTGTGCCCGTAATCGAATTATTTGTGCCATTAATTTTGCAAACGCGAGGTTGCGAGATGACAATAGGCACACATGAAACCATCTAGAAGATGCATCTATTAAGACCATAAAATATCTAAACGACCCACTAGGTGGGTGAATAGGTCCACAAATATCCCCTTGTATACGTTCCAAAAACGCAGGGGACTCAATTCCAACCTTTGTTGGTGATGGTAATAATTAACTTGCCTTGATAACAAGAAGTGCAAGAAAATTCATTATTTAAAAGAATTTTTAAATTCTTTAATGGATGCCCATTTGAGTTTTCTATAATCCGTCTCATCATAATTGATCCAGGATGTCCCAATGGATCATGCCAAAGTACAAAAGTATTGGAATCAGTAACCTTTTGGTTTACAATAGAATGTGCCTCAATTGCACTAATTCTTGTCCAATACAGGCCACAAGATAAAGATGGGAACTTCTCAATAGCCCTTTTCTGGCCAGAGACATTTTTGGTGATAATGAGATATTTAAGATTATTCTCATCTATTGTCTCAATATGATAACCATTTCGGCGGATATCTTTAAAACTCAACAAGTTCCTCTTGGACTTGGAGGAGAAAATTGCATTCTCTATAATAAGTATTGTTCCCTTAGGCAGAGTTATAGTAGCTCTTCCAGTGCCTTCAATTAATTTACTACTACCAGAAATTGTAGTAACATCTGCCTTACACATACTTAAACGAGAGAAATATTTCTTCTCTTTGAATATTGTATGTGTCGTACATGAATCAATTAAACAAATATTTTTACAGTTGTACATTGATCCAAGTTTGCTTTGTGAGATATCCATATTTGCTTCCCATGGTTTGACATACAAAAGAAATATACGAATAAATATTAGTATATTCTTCTCGATTAAATATATTCATGAATTTGTTCAAGCATTTAACAAAGGAGCTAATAATGAGAAAGATAAGGGCATTTAGTAGAATTAAATACCATACATCTAAATAATACGATTAACACAGTGTGAAATTGCAATTGTGGAAGAAAAGAAAACAAACTAATTTAAAAATTAGTTTTCCGAGCACACATTGTATAAAACAAATATTAAACAAAGAGAGAATTGGATAAGCTAACTATCATTATACAATAACATGGAAACAAAGATAACCATATTTGCCTGTCCATTATTCTGACCACATGGACGTGATCGCTCGTGTCTTCAATCATATACATATATTATCCAATTGAACTCTGAATTTTACTTTCTGTTTTAACTCCACGTTAAGAAATCGATAGATGTGCAACAGGAGCAAATTTCCATAAAGAGAGTTTGTTAAAGGGATCTATATTTAATCAAAACGAACTAACACTATTTTAAAAATTAAATAATACTAATTGATACTAATGATTACTACTCATGTAAAGAACTATAATTACATGATTTTTATTCATTAACTACTACGAACAGGCACAAATAAAAATTGAACTACTTAATCATCTTTAACCACGGATCCATCACCGATCAAGTGGTCTATTTTTCCATCAGGGCGCTCAAAGAAGACTGCCACATCCAAGTGGGTGATGTCAAAATCATTGTCAGAGACAAAATTAGCTTCAGGGCCTTTATTCTTTAGAGATGCTTGATAAAGCTCAACCAAATGTCTTGGTACACGACAAATATTTGCCCAATGCCCTTTTCCACCGCAACGATAGCATTCAGTTTCTGAACCATTTGCTTTTGGCTTCTCATCTTTCCCTTTCCACTTTTGGTGGTTATTTCTCTTTGGGGGATGATTAACACCAGGAAAATTTCTTCCTTGTCTACGCACGGCCACGACCACGACCACGACCACGAATAGAGTCACGGCTTTTTCCACGCTTAGCATAATGGGAATACACCATCCACATTATAGCAATGGTGTAGACCTAGTGGGCGATTTTCGTGATTTTCTCATGAGCAAGTCATTGTTTCGCTCAGCCCAAAGGTGAAGAGAAATCAGCTCAGAGTACTTCTTGAAACTTTCTCTCTGTACTGTTGTTGCAGGACCATATTGGAGGCATGAAACGTTGTAAACGTTTTTTCAAGCATAATAATCACTGATAGTATCTCCACAGAGTTTTCAATTTTTAGAAGAAATTCTGAACATTGCAGAATTATATTCAGAAACAGACTTAAAGTCTTGGAGCCTCAGATGAGCCCAATCATATCGTGCTTGTGGAAGAGTGACCAACTTTAAGTTATCATATCTTTTCTTTAAGCCATTCCACAAAACAAGTGGGTCTTTTACTGTGAGATATTCTATTTTCAACACTTCATAAAGGTGATGGCGCAAGAAAATCAAGGCCTTAGCACAGTCTTGGGTGGATGCTTTAGTTTTGTCTTTAATGGCGTCTCCAAGACCCATTGCATCTAAATGGATTTCAGCATCCAACACCCATGTCATATAGTTCTTGCCCGAAATTTCAAGGGCAACAAACTTTCTTTTCATAATATCAGTCATAATTAAAAGAGGAGAAAAGTTGTACCTTAATCTTCTTGAGACGGTAGAGTCTCGTGCTGATAACGTGTGATGAAAATAATAAAAGAACAAGAGCAATATTGCAGAGAAAGAGAGAGAGGAAATTCTTATTGAATTTTGGGATGAATTACAATAGAATAGAACCCTCTATTTATAGGGAGAGGGTGACTTAGCCACCAAGCAATGAACCCTAGAATCTCTCTAAATATAGACATTCACCATAAATACAATTCTATTTATAACAACTCCTATATTATATGGATAAAAGTTGAACATTGAAATAAAATTGAGTTCATCTTAGACATAGATATCGCATTGTTCTTTCCTAATCTAGAATCGAAGATCTAAATATATGTTTTGCTATAAGTACATGGCATGTTTCAAGATCTAATTCAAAACGAAAATTACACTAAAACCAAATACTATAAATTAAAACTATTACAGTAGTAAAAAATTGTAAGAGAAAATATTTTGGTACTAGAGATAAGGGATAACGAATTCCGGGACCAAATTTGAGATGAATTTATCCCACGTTTGGTTGTGATAAAATTGTGGTATAATTAATCTCGGGATTAGTTATCCTGGGACTGTAGTATTATTTATCCCTATGGGAGGGTAGGATAACTAATATGAGAATAATTAATCATGGGATAACTTATTTCTCAACCAAACGACCCCTTAAAAAGGTGGAGAATAATAATATAATATGTCCATATGTCAGCCTTCTATTGTCCTTTTGAATTAACCAAAATCCAATTAGTGAAAAAAAAAACAACTAAAATCCAATTCAAAAGGGTTTTATCTCCACCTCCCATTTCCCTCCGTTTTTTCATCCGTTTCCAATTATTTCTCAAATTTTCTTCCTCCCACCACTTGCCACTCTACCCATAAAAATAGCCATAACCATATAGTACATAAGTACATGACCACCGGTTTGAAGTGAATCAGTCAGTGTTAAGAGTTTCAAAGAACAGAAGCTTTCACTCAACGAGTGTCAGTTATTTGCATGACATTAGCAAATCCAATTAAGGTAAGAAATTTTGTGTCACGACTGTTTTAATGCATGATCAAGTGAACGTTTTCCTTTTATACGTGTTAAATTCTTCGATTTTCTTTTAATTTTGGTGTCAAATGCAGATCATAGAATCATAGTTGGAGCAAGTGCATTCACTATTTTTCATCTCGTAATATATATCTAAGTTTAAATCACACGTAAGGTATCATTCCTTATGACAGTGACACTTCATATCCATTACCTTAAAGTTTTAAATTCTGATTCTGCCATTGATAGTTAATGTCAACTCTAGGTAATTCTCCCCTTCCGATCACCACTTCCCCTACCGCAACCGCTACCTCCGCCACCAACCGTCACCGCTTCTCTCTCTCAAAATGGAAAGGTGCAAAACCAATACCACTAGCAATATCATTAGCGATAGGCTTACTCTTCCGCTTCACGGTACCAAAACCCCACCAACTTTCCACTATAGCGTCGCAACTTTTAGCCATTTTCCTTACAACTATCTGCGGCCTGATCCTCAGCCCATTGCCAGTGGGCGCGTGGGCTTTCCTTTCCCTCACGATCGCGGTTATAACAAAAACCATAACATTTGTCGCGACATTTGCTGCATTCACAAATGAAGTTATTTGGTTAATTGTTGTATCATTTTTTTCCTCAAGAGGTTTTATTAAGACTGGACTTGGTGATAGAGTTGCTTTGTGTTTTGTGAGTTGGCTTGGGAAAGATACATTGGGTTTGTCTTATGGTTTGGCTTTAAGTGAGGCTGCAATTTCTTCTGCTATTCCAAGTACAACTGCTAGAGCTGGTGGTATTTTCTTGCCTATTATTAAATCATTGGCTGTCAGTGCTGATAGTCACCCAAAGGATCATTCTTCTAGGAAACTTGGTGCTTATCTTATTCAAACTCAATTGCAGGTAAGCATTAATTTATTGTTTACTTTTATTCACTAACTAGTACTAGTATGTTTTATGAATTTAACTTGTATATACTGACAACGTATTTTTACACTATTTGTTGGCTATTACTTGTTATAGTAGATGACCGATATTATTTGCATTGTCAGTGTATAAGTTTTTTATATTAGGACAGTCCGCTGCACTAAGTGTTATGTCGAGGAAGAGGCAAACCCGAAAATAAAGAAGATAAAGAACACCAAATTTTAACATGAAAAACCCTTCAAATCAAAGGTAAAAACCACGGGATCACAAAGATACAAAAAGCTCCACTATAACAATAAGAGGGTTACAAAAGTTTTTCAAATTGGCTACACAACAAGTGCCAAACATAGAGCAACAATAGCAATAAGCGCAACGACAAATCAATTGAAGAAAGAGGAGAATCTACAAAAACGAAGCTGCTGTTTGAGGCTCTAAATCAGATTCTAAGACATCTTCACAATATGGGAGAAAATTTCATCAAAGTCATTCCCTTCTTCTGGCCAAAACCTTTAACAACTAACCTACTTGTATCTAGGCGCAGAGGTATGGTTATCTTGTATTCTGAATATCCATTTGTTAGATAAAGCTCTCTTACCTTTCGGCAATTTCACTAACTCATATGTGCCATTCTCATAGAGTGACTTCATCTCATCTTCCATGGTTTGATCCACTGATCTTTGTGAGTATCTTGCATGGCTTCATCATAGCTCTCAGGTTCTCCCATGTCAGTCAAAAGTACATACTCACTAGGAGGATAGCGCATGGATTTTTGCTTCTCCCTTGTAGATCTTCTAAGAGAGGTTTCAGGAGCGTTCGAAGTAGTTACCTGAGTAGGAATTGGTTGCTGATCAACCATAACTTCATCAACTGGAGCATCCATAATATCTACACCATGATGATCATTTTGATCTTAATCACTATCTTCATTATTGTCTTGGGTTCCTTCATGTGCAATTGGTGCCTTAGCAATAGAAACTGGATCGCTATCAACTAAGCTCTCATTACTCTGAGAATCTATCTTCTCAGCTTTGTCAATATCTTCAATAGTCTGGTCTTCAAAAAATATTGCATCACGACTTCTAATAAGTTTATTGTCAATTGGATCGTAAAAACGATACTCAAACTCATCTTGACCATAACCGATAAAGATGCACTGCTAAGTTCTGACATCCAATTTCTTTGGCAAACCAAACTCTGTCTGGGACATCACCATCCAAAGCAACAGCAGGAGACAAATTGATAACATAGGCAACAGTGTTAAGTGCTTCCGCCTAAAATGTATTTGGAAGTTCAGCCTATGAAAGCAAGCATCTAATTCTCTCAACTAGAGTTCTATTCATCCTCTCTGCCAAACCATACAATTGAGGCGTCTTGGGCGGAGTTTTCTGATGATGAATTCCTTGTTCCTTGCAATAATTATCAAAGGGACCACAATATTCACCACCATTGTCAGTGCGAATACATTTTAATTTCTTCCCCGTCTGTCTCTCGGCTAAGGCCTGAAATTCCTTGAACTCACCAAGTGCTTGACCTTTAGATTTCAAAGAATACACCCAGAGCTTACGAGAATGATCATTAATGAAGGACACAAAGTAAAGTTCACCACCTTTTGACTTTACTTTAAAAGGACCACACAAATCAGAGTGTACTAACTCCAATAAATCGGGCTTTCTTGAGGGAGGATGGCTATGAAAGGAAACCCTTTTCTGTTTACCAGCTAAACAATGGATACACATTTTTAGCTTTGCTTTTTTCACTCCAAAAAGCAAACTTTTCTTAGCCAGACACGTAATCCCCCTCTCGCTCATACGACTCAATCTTCTGTGCCACAATTCTGATAAAGTGTCACTTTCTACCAGATTTATGGAGTCATTAAGAATAGAACCCTGTGTCACATATAAATGACCAGACTTGACTCCTCGAGCCACTACTAACGAGCCCTTGGCGAGCTTCTATTGGCCATTAAAGAGGGCATTATAGTAACCTTCATAGTCTAATCTTCCTGCGGAGATCAAATTGAAAGGAAAGTTTGGAGCATGCTTGACAACTTGAAGAACTAACATTGAACCATTATTAGTTTTCAAACAAACTGTGCCAACACCGAACACCTTAACTTCACTGGCATTGCCCATCTTTAACACTCCAGAATCAACAGGAGTATAAGACGAGAAAAAGTCTTTTCTTGGCGTGACATGTGAGGTAGCTCTAGAATCTACTATTCAGCTCGTCTCATGGGATACCAAATTGATGACATTTTCATCATAAGTAAAAAGAAGGTCATCTCGAACAATAGCAGCAACGTTGTTCTCGTTATTTTCAACTTTCTTTCCTTCTCTAATTTCTTGCAACCACTTGTGTTAAAACCTTTTGATGTGTCCTTTTTTGCCAAAGTGGTTGCATGTAATATTATGGTATTTAGATCTTGACTTACTTTTACTTCTATTCCTCGAGCCTCTTGTTCTATCTCTCCCCCGGTCTTGTGTAATCAAGATATCTGCTTGTAAGGACGAACCCTGAGATTTTCTCCTTAATCATCACACCACTCTTGGCATATTACATGGTCACCTTACCTCTAGGAGCTGAATTTGTCAAAGAAACACGAAGAGTCTCCCAAGAGTCTGGTAAAGTATTACGAAGCCAAAGTCCTTGTATCTCATCATCAAAATTAACTCCTGGTAACGCCCAACTCTAGTCCTAAAAAGGATAAGCGGTCGCTGCAAATATAATCCGGTCTAAAAGTCCGGAGTCGAATCCCACAGAGAACTAAGGCTTAGCTGTACCTGTTTAGTATCACTAAGAGGACAAGATTGAACAATATCCTAAATTATAAAGATTGAGATTTATATTTCTAACTAATTAACTAGTAAATACTACAACGCGGTAAAATTATCAACTAACGAGACAAAGGGTTGGAGACTAAATTAAGGAGAACTAGAGTTATGATTTCCCCAATTGTCGGAATCCTTACAGCTATGTTCCCTACAATTTCACTGATGTATTTTCTACTGATCGTGAGCTCTTTAGGTGCCGTAATTCTCTCTCGAGCAACTACAATAATTTACTAGACATATTCTCTCGAACTACGCTAGTTGGCTTTATCTAACCGCTCATTATGACCACGTCAAGGCTTTGTTATTTCTAAACCTACCTTTAAACCCAATGTATTGATTTCTCACATACGTTAGGAGTGACGTTGTTCAACAACTATCTAAATATGTACTCTCTCTCGAGCAGTACACACTAAATAGGCACAGTCAATTGATGGCCATTCAATCAACAACAACAAACACGTAGTTAAACAAGTAGAGAGATCCAACGGCTTAATTATATAAAAATATAACAAGAATTCATCATACAAAAGGTTCTACCAAAACTCTAGATAACAAATTAGTTATTCATAATAGTATGTAAAACTGCAATATTAAAAATCATAACCAACAATGAAAAATAGGAAGAGGAAGGAAAAACTCGTTGAAGAATTCTCCGCCTTGCTCCCAGTGTGTTCTTGACTCCTTAGGTCGAATCCCCGGTCTCCTTAGCCTCCTTAGGTCTAAATTATGTCGAATCTGTGTTAAAAATATGTCTCCTTAGCCTCCTTAGGTCTAAATTATGTCAAAAGTGTGTCCAACCTCTTAAAATACCGTTTTTCCATGTATATATAGCAAGTAGGGTCGGGCCCAAACAATTATACCTTCTCCTACGCGAAAAAGGACAATTTTTTCAGGTCTGGACGCCGCGGTCGCGGTCCGGGCGTGGTATGACCGCGGTATATGGCAAGTATACTGCCTCAGCCCGCCTCAGGTCCACGGTCGCGGTTTCGACCGCGTTTTTCACCCTGATACTTTTGGAATTTGGAAAAACGTAAAACATGAATGTTGTAGACCTTTGCGTTAGCTTTCCAACCATATATTGTGGAGCCCAAATGGATTTCTGAGCAAAAAGTTATGTGCATTTTACTAGACAGTACGCAATATGCCTACTCGATTCTTCGTTTTGTTGCTCTATCATCCGTTGATCCCCGAATACGATCCCGGCTTAATTCCTTGGGCTTTTACTCAGACTTCAAAGCTCCAAATCACTTGAATTCATTACATAACATCTATATAGCTCGGAATCACTCCTACAAGGCATAAAACACACGCTTAGTGCAAAATACTGCCAAAATTTTACGGTATAGCCTGTTTTCGGACTGGTCAATCAAAAATAGCCAGCGTTTACCAAGTCAATGAAAAATAGCCACCGTTTTGCTGCAATAGAGACCAGTCCAGCATAATATACTGGAGTTCGGTGCACTTGTGTATGAACTCCAGCATATTATGCTGGACTGGTATACTTTGCTGGCTCCATTATAATATACTGGAGACTGGAGCACTGGTGCTCCAAACTCCAGTATATTATACTGGACCATTATACTTGTTGGAACTACAGTATATTATGCTGGAGTTCTAGTGTATTTATGCTGGAACTCCATCATATTATGCTGGAGTTCCAGCATACTATCCTGGAACTCCAGTATAATATACTGGAGTTCAAGTATACTTATGCTGGAACTCCAGCATAATATACTGGAGTATTTTCCGGGTTTTGAACAGTGTTTTCGCTCAGATTTATCTTTACATAAAAAGTGGCTAAATTTCGATTACTTTTGAAATTGGGCTATTTTTGAACGACCAGTTGTAAATCTGGCTATTTTTAAAAATCACCCCAAAATACTAGCGATTAAAGCACAAACTCAACTAAAGTGCAGTAAATTAGAGTGTAATAATCGACTAAAATAAGTAATTATAGCCTATCATCAACTCCCATTCCAGACAACTGATCAAGGATGCCCTGAAAATCATTTATGTAATCAAGGATAGGGTTGCCTTCCTTGTATTTAAAGTCATCAATTGTGTTAGCAAGAATAATTTGTTGTTCCTGGTTTTTGAAGCATAAAGAGTCTCTAACTTTTCCCACAATGATCTCGCATGTGTCTCGTTCACAATATGGTTGCGAACATTATCTTCAACCCATTATCGTATATATCCACATACTTTTTGGTGCTCGAAATCCCAATCTTCAATAGATATAGTCTCGGGTTTATGAGCTGCAAAAACGGGTAGATGCATCTTCTTCACAAACAACAAATCTTTCATCTTGCTTCTCCAAATATTATAATTTCTCCCATTTAAATATACCATCTTGCTCATAGTCGCCTCCATTTCGTAACAACCCGGATAAACAACCAAGGCTTTGATACCACTGTTATGTCGAGGAAGAGGTAAACCGGAAAATAAAGAAGATAAAGAACACCAAATTTGAACGTGGAAAACCCTTCAAATCGAAGGTAAAAACTACGGGATCACAAAGTTACACTATAACAATAAGAGGTTAATAAAAGTTCTTCAAATTGGATACACAACAAGTGCCAAACATAGAGTAACAAGAGCAACGACATATCAATTGAAGAAAGAGGAGAATCCACAAGAATGAAGCTGCTGCTTGAGGCTCTAAATCAGATTCTACAGGCCTCCAAATCCGATCTCCACTGTTCAAAGCAAAGACCAAGATGTAACGAACATCCAGTCAAAAATAAGCCCGATCCAACGGTTAACGAATCGGAAACGTGATTTGAAGTTGGCTGGTCGGAATAAAAATCTGGAGCAAAACAAATACTTTTCTTCTCTCTTCTCTCTTGATGAAAGCTCTCTCAAAACCACTCTTATGTGCTTAAGTCTTTCAAAGTCTTGTATCAATGAGCGTAGAATAATTCTCCAAGGTTGTCCTATTTATAGATCATGAGTGGTGATTTCTCCTAAATCCAAAACCCACTCAAAATAGGAATAACCACCGAATCCAATTCCGAATAGGAATGGAAACCAAAAGAGAATAGGATTAGGCCATTAGGCCTTTGGCTGGACAACATGGACATGTGCCCAACACTAAGCTCCTGTTATGCGCGGGTTCCGAGGAAAGGCTGGACCACAAGGGTCTATTGTACGCAACCTTATCCTACATTTCTGCAAGAGGTTGTTTCCACGGTTCGAACCCGTGATCATTAAGTTTCTTATATTGTAAAGGTCAAATCCACATATAACAATATACAACTCTTTATAAGACATTTGATATGGTAAACTAAAATAGTAACTTGCTAAAACAATAGTAACTTCTTCATAAAAAAGTCATGTTACTAATAACACATTTTATGACTGATTATATATTACAACAATAATATACCCAGTATATTTTTATAAGTGGGGTTTGGGAGTTTGTGCGCAAATCTTACTCCTGTCTTGGGCAGATAGAGAGACTATTTTTTATAGACCCTCGGCTCTTATGAATGATTATATGTAATTATTCTTTACATGATATGATAATATAAAAATTAAATAAGTTTGTAAAAATAAGAAGATGAACAAAATTTAAATACTAACACTCTGTTTGGATCATTGTTTCTCGTCGTTTTATAATAAATTTTATTGTATTTTATCATATTGTATCGTATCATTTTATAAATACAATGTTTGGATATATTGTATTGTTTGCTATTGTTAAATAATTCTTTCTTGTTTGGTTTGACTGTATCGTACGGTACTGTAACTGATAAGTTGACTAAAATACCCTCAATTGTTTAAATATTAAATTTATTAAAATTATGCATAAAAATAATTTAAAAAAACAAAACAGGAAAAGGCAAAACACCTTAAGAAAGCAGAACAAAGGAGCGAGACAGAAGAAGGCGAAACGAAGGAGCACAACTAATTAGGATTGAGTTAAAAGCAAATTAGGAGAAAAAATAAAACAGAAGGCGGCAAAACATCTTTAACGTTGGTGGTAGAAGTTCTTGAAAAAAACAAAGTAGGTAATAGGTTGGAGATTTGGAGTTAAAATAGAAAAAAAAAAAAAAAAGAGGTAAAGGGTAAAATAGAATTGTGGAGTAATAAGTTAGGGCATAATTGAAAAGAAAAATAGGAAGCAATCCCACCACACCAAATCGGTTGTTTCAAAAAAGAGGACTTTTCATTGTTCCGGAACAATGAATTTAACAATACAATACAACCAATTTTAATGAAACAATCAAAACAAACAGTGTTTAGGGATAACAATACAATACGATACAACGGGGAATAATCATCCAAACAAGCTGTAAAATAAATTGTTTTAATCATAACATGAATTAGGTATATATATGACTCAAAGAAAGAAAGAAACAAACCAACTGCAACTATATACTTCTTTTAGATTTATTTAATTAATTTTAAGATTCAGGTGGAAGGGGAGCCTTAGCGTAATTGGTAAAGTTGCTTTTATGTGACCAGGAGGTCACGGGTTCAAGTCGTGGAAACAATCTCTTGCAGAAATGCAGGGCAAGGCTGCGTACAATTGACCCTTGTGGTCCGGCCCTTCCCCGGGCCCTCGCATAGCAGAGGAGCTTAGTGCGCTGAGCTGCACTAATTTTAATATTCAGAGGTTTAATATTGTGTCTTGTATATTTTAGTTCCATTTCTGATAATTCCTATCACTAATGCTACTTATGTTGTGTTGCATTTACAGGCTTCTAATAGCTCAAGTGCCTTATTCCTAACAGCTGCTGCAAATAACTTATTGTGTTTGAAATTAGCTGAGGGGTTAGGAGTGAAAACATCAAGTAAATGGCTAACTTGGTTCAAGGTTTCAAGCATACCAGCAATTATATCTCTTTTAGCAAGTCCAACTATTCTATACAAGATTTTCCCTCCAGAAATGAAGAACACACCAGATGCTCCATTAATGGCTAGAAGGAAACTGGAGCAGATGGGTCCTATCAAAAGTGATCAGTGGGTTATGATGATAGTCATGCTTGTAACTGTTTCATTATGGATTTCTGGGTAATGTTCAAATACTTATATGTTTTTATATGTTTTCAATCTTCCTTTTGATTGTGAATGAGTTTCTTTGACACAAGTGACAGACCATGGGCCTAGCTCAATCTTAAAAATCGAATGTGTTGTTGTCTTTTTATGGGGAGAAATTTAAAAATAGCCAGATTTACAACTGGTCATTTAAAAATAGCCCAGTTTCAAAAGTAATCGGAATTTTAGCCACTTTTCATGTAAAGATAAATCTGAGCGAAAACACTGTTCAAAATCCGGAAAACACGCCAGTATATTATGCTGGATTTCCAGCATAAGTATACTTGAACTCCAGCATATTATACTGGAGTTCCAGGATAAGTATGCTGGAACTCCAGCATAATATGATGGAGTTCCAGCATAAGTACACTAGAACTCCAGCATAATATACTGGAGTTCCAGCAAGTATACCGGTCCAGCATAATATATTGGAGTTTGGAGCACCGGTGCTCCGGTCTCCAGTATATTATACTGGAGCCAGCAAAGTATACCGGTCCAGCATAATATGCTGGAGTTCATACACAGGTGCACCGAACTCCAGTATATTATGCTGGACCGGTCTCTGTTGCAGCAAAATAGTGGCTATTTTTTATTGACTTGGTAAACGCTAGCTATTTTTGAATGACCAGTCTGAAAACTGGCTATACCGTGCTATTTTGACCTTTTTATATGGTTTTGGATAGTCATCACCTCAGGATAGAGAATGGGAGCCTTGGCGTAACCGGTTAAGTTGCTGTCATGTGATCAGGAGCTTACGAGTTAGAGCCGTGGAAACAACCTCTTGCAGAAATGTAGGGTAAGACTGCGTATAACAGACCTTTGTGGTTCGGCCCATCTCCGGACTCCGCGCATAGCGGAAGCTTAGTGCACCGGGCTGCCCTTCATCATCTCAGGATATAACTTTAATTTGGGGTTAATTTAAGCCCAAATATGCATTTTCTTAACATGGTATTAGAGCCAAACGTATCCTTATTCTTGGTTTACCCTATATTAAGCTCCCATATTGTGTTTTTGCCGCTGCAAATGTCAAACCTGGGGTGTGCTGAGGGAGGGAAGGATGTTAGAGTATCCTACATTAGTTGAGAGAATGAGTTGTTCTCTCTTTAATATGGTCTCGGGCGACCCTCACTCATGAACTAGATTCTGAAGCAGAGTTACGCTCGAGGTCCATCTTCTTAACAATCAGCATGATCTTTACTTCTTTATATTTCCTAGTACTACAATAATGAGGGAGGTAGCCTGATGCATAGTAGATAATTTCTTGGTCCAAGGATTAGAGCTTTTGTTGTGTTTATATATAGGCAGAATACATCGATAGCCTATTAAATTTGTCCTCACTTTTCACTTAAGCACTATATTTTAAGTCCGTTTCATTTGAACACTCCAACCACATATCAAATGTGTCATTTAGACATAAAATTAATAGGCAGCCAAAATACGAAGATGCGTGTAATTCACACGCTTGTGACGTGTCAAATGAACAAATAAATATCTGACACGTGTAATTTTCTTAAAATTGATAACTGTAACTAAAAAAGAAAAGAAAAAACAGAAAACCCTCTCCCATCCCTTCTTCTTCCCCGAGGTCCCCCTCCTTCTGTCTGCTACCCCGAAACCCCCCCCCCAAACCCCCCCGCTACTTTGTCTCCTCCTTCATTTTCTTTCCCCAGATCTGATGTGAAGAGGTCTTTGTTGCGCTGCTTGCTGCACTCTCTCTCTCTTGCGGGAATTTTGCAACAAACTGAGGAAACTCAATCGAGAGCACTCAGTGAAGAGGTCTTCGTTTTGTTTCAATCTGATGTGAAGAGGTCTTCGTTTTGTTTCAATCGAGAGCACTCAGTGAAACTCAGGTCTGGGAGATGGAGAAATTCGTGTCAATTTTTTCTTTTTTGTTGAAAATCCTTTCCTTAATAATTGTTTGATATCTTTGACCATGAATGATTCACTGGTGATTTAATTTCTGTAGCTGCTTAATTGGAAAAAAAAGTAACTGAGTTGAAAAAGAGGAGAGAAACAAAGAAAGAACAGAAAAGGTCTAAAAATATCAACTATCAGAAATGGCCTATCTATGCCCATCTGTTAAAAGATTGCTATTTCCATGTCACTACCGTTACACCTTTGGCCTATTTATACCACCGTCTACTAACAGTTCCATTTATAATTTTTAAATAATAAGAATTATTTTATATTATTGGTTATTCTTTACTTGAACCTACATTTCTTTTAACCTTGTTGCCATTTGAGGAGATGGACGCTGCCGCATTGCGACCTGTAAAATTTCCGGCGACATGTTCCACCTCAACCTCAATATCGTCTCTTCAGCAGCCGTCTGCAGCCTCGTTCCAAAATCTTTCACAATGTCTTCCTCCTTTAAGACGCCCATGATTGCCCGAGCTTCCGACCCCAAAACTGACCAACCAAATCCCAGCACTGATGAACCTGGCCTTCCTTTCCTACTACAGGTTACCCCCAGTCCCTCCCTTTAACTCCTCTCAGAACACTTAACTGTTCGTTAATCACGATTTTCACGATCAGTTTGGCAATATTTTCAAAATCTTAACGAGTAATTTATTTTATTTTATTGGATTATTATTTACATACTACTATCACCTGTGAGGTCGTTTTTGAAATTTTATGACAAGCAGGAGGATTTGAACTTCTTATTAAAACATGGAGTTGGTTCAGTCGCTGGAGGAGCTGTGATAAAGTATGGAAGTGTCATTTTCCCAGAGATAACTAGGATTTAGTTTTGGGTTATGTGGTTGGATTTTATCCGGTTGGGTTTGGTTAATTATACATAATCAGGGTTAAAAGAAATGTAGGGTCAAGTAAAGAAGAACCAGTAATATAAAGACACGTGGCAAATGTGGGGTTGAAAAATTAATTCTTATTATTTAAAAATCAGAAAATGGAACTCTTAGTAGACAGTGGCATAAATAGGCCAAAGTGTAACGGTAATGGCATGGAAATAGGGACCTTTTAACGGATGACATAGATAGGTCATTTCTAATAGTTGAGTGGCATTTTTAGGCCTTTTCCGAAAAAAGAATAAATATTTGGGGGTTTTCCAGTGATCTCCATTTATTCCGGCCATGAAAACTAAGATAGAAAGGTGGATGGTGGTGGACCGGTGGAAGGGGAGAGAGAAAGGTGGCAACCTGGTGACTGTGCGAAAGAATAGGTGGAAAAAGAAAGAGAAAAAAAAAATTAAAAAAGAAAATTGATCTATCACGCTTTGAAAAATAGTGTAATACACGCGCTATGCCACATTACCGAGTTGTGTCTAAATTACACATTTGAGATGTGGTTGGAGTGTTCAAATGGAACGGACTCAAGATAAAGTATTTAAGTAAAAAGCGAAGACAACTTTAAGGGTTGCCGATGTATTCTGCCTTATATATACTTAAATACATGTGCTTCATATCCCTCTGCTCATGACCAGATTAACCTGTGCACTAGTCTTAAAATGTTGCCATATTTCTTTTCTTTATTTCTCTATTTCATTGTAGCCTATGAAGGGGAGCCTTGGAGCAACGGTCAAATTGTCTTCATGTAATCTACAGGTCACGGGTTCGAGCCGTGTAATCAGCCATTGATACTGGCATCAGGGTAGGCTGCTGCTGATGGAACATGCAACTTCGTGGCTGCTTCTACAGCTCGAACCTGTGACCTATAGGTCATACGGAGACAACTTTACCGTTGCTCCAAGGCATCCGGACCCTTCATGAACCCTGGATGTTTTGTACACCGGACTGCTTTTTTTTTTTTTTTCTTTTCTCATTGTAGCCTATGTTTGATAATGAAACAACTTTCCATTTAATACAGAGAGGCTCTTGGGCTAGCAAGTGGTATCACAGCAATGCTAGGATTGTCACTACTTTTGGCATTTGGAATACTTACTTGGGATGATTGCTTAAGTGAAAAATCTGCATGGGATACATTAGCTTGGTTTGGAGTTTTAATAGGGATGGCAACACAATTAACTACTCTTGGAGTTGTTGCTTGGATGTCAAATGTTGTGGCTAATTTCCTCAACTCTCTTTCACTACATTGGTTTGGAGCATTTTGTATACTTCTAGGAACATATTACTTCATTCACGACTTGTTTGCTAGTCAAACTGCTCATGTTGCAGCTTTGTACCCTGCATTTCTTGGAATGTGTTTGGCATCAAAAATTCCAAATCTTCTTGCTACATTGTTATTGGGATACTTCAGTAATCTTTTTGGTGCATTGACACATTATAGCAGTGGTCAAGCTGCAGTATATTATGGAGGTATTTTCTTGAAGTATATTTGATAAGATCTATTAAGATTATGAAGCGGAGCCTTGGAGCAAACTTGTCTCGATGTGATCTATAGGCTATGTTGCTCGGACTCTCTAAAAATATTGCCGGGTGCGTGTCGGATCCTTCAAAAGTAGTATATTTTTGGAAGATCTGACACCAGTGCGGAGCATTTTGGAGAGGTCGCGCAACATAGCCTATACGTCACGGGTTCGAGCCGTGGAAGTAGCCACTACTGCTTGTATTAGGGCTGGTAGACTGTGTACATCACACTCTCTTGGGGTGCGACCCTTCCTCGGATCCTGCTTAAATGCGGGATGCCTTGGAGCAACGAAAAATTGTCTCCGTGTGATCTATAGGTCACGGGTTCGAGCCATGGAAGCAGCCACTAATGCTTGCGTTAGGTCAGATTGTATACATCACACTCTCTTGGGGTGCGTCCTTTCTCCGGATCCTGCATAAACGCAGGATGCATTATGCACCGGGATGCCCTATCTCCATTAAGATTATCTCTAAGCAGTCTAAGATAACAGTTACCTAAATTTTGGTAACTGTTCTCTTTTCATTTATGTTTTAGGAAGTTGAACTAATTAATCTCATTTTCTTTTCTCTTCTTTGGCAGCTGGTTATGTGGAACTACGTGATGTCTTCAAAATGGGCATTACCATAGCTCTTATTAATATTGCCATATGGGGATTAGTAGGGCTGGCTGGTGGAAGATTCTTGGCCTTTACTAAGACTGAAATAAGCAAGTGAATGTTGTGTTGGAAAAATATGACATATTGACAAAGAACAATAGAAGAACAGAAACAACTCATTGAATAAAATATTGTGTCGAGTCAAGCCACTGTCTTAAAAACGATTTTACCCAAGCTTGGGTGTAAATCGTTGAGATCGGTCGCTCCTGAAGGTTACACGACACTCCCAAACACGTGCACTCTTGGTGAGAAATTTGGAGTTTTGCATAAATACAATTGCCCAAGAACTTATTGAAGAACAAGAGAAAGAGAGGAATGCATGTGTTTTATGTGTTAGTATAGAAGAGAAATCATAAGTTGTATATACAAGTAAGGAGGCAACGGTTGGGTAGTAATAGCCAAGATCTGAAATGACTGTAACGTTAATTGTATTTATTGTTTAAATTCAGGAATAACATAATGACTGCTTTTAATTCCAGGGAATTAAAGTAAGCATGTATATATTCGGACATATTTCTGGTAGACTCAAAATATCAAAAATAATTTTTTTCAAAACATGACTGGATTAGGCCTCGCGTATATCTGTCGCGCATGGGGTATTGGGGTACCATTATATGAGCGTGTTTATTTCAGAACAGTTTGATTGTTACAAGAGGCTATAGTTTCTTAATTTTATTGGTACCAGTACCTGAGCTTGTTTATTTTAGCTGATTAACATTCATTTTAACATGTAAGCCTGTTGCATCATTAGATTAAATGGGTGAAATTATCCGCAATCCACTGCCTTGATCAACTTGGCTACATTCTCCCCGAGGTACGCAATAATGCCCTTGATAGGCACTCCAGAACCCGCCAACTCTCGTGAAAACCTAGGTAAGTCGGTCCTCCATTCATCTAACCCGGGGTATGGATCACGAGGCACTTGGCTGCAAGTGAATTTACCAGATCAAACATAAAGCAGATGGAGTTTGAGGGGGGAGTGTAATATCATGTATTATTATAAAGTGATAATGATGTCTCTTTCTGTTCTGTGCTTTCTTCTTGATTTGCGCCTTGGAAGTCAGGGAACGCGTCTGAAGAAGTGGCGGGCGCCCTCTAAGTTGACCGGCCTCCTCCTCTCAGCATTCACCTTTAGCTACTTTAAACTTGTCCCATAACATGAGATCTCTTACTGAATAAGCTCAATTTTTGCCCAGGTTCAAGGCAAATGCTGGTTGGATTTTTAGTTCAAAATGAACCTCTTCTTTGGGATTGTTGAGACTTTGTCCTTGGCACTAAACAATTGGACTTCCAACTACATAGCCTAAAATTATGACAGTGCTTTGTTTAGGCAAAATTTTGCTCAATTGTTACCAGCTTATACCACTTGTATTCAAATTCGCAACAAATACAATCTGTATCAACTGTACTCATTCGCGCAATTGTATTCGTTCGCACAACGAATACAACCTGTATCTACTGTATTCATTCACGCAACGAGTACATGACCAAGGCAAAAATTCAGGATGTATACAAAGAATACAGCTTGTATCGATTGTATACATGAATGTTTACAAAGGATACAACCGTATACAACCAAGGCGAAGTACAGAAATACGAAAAAATAAAATGCACTTGTCGAAAGTCGAATTCAAGGATACAATACTAGTAAAGCTTTAATTGAATTTTCTTAAAGCTCAATTTAACAGATAGCTCCGCGGTGAACTTGGTTTTACCAAAGATGGTAGCGTGATTTTCTTTTTTATTTATTTATTAGGTTATACAGTCAAACCTCTCTATAACAGCCTCGTTTGTTCTTAATATTCTTGGATGTTATAGCTAAGTGTTGTTATTGTTTGACCCAAAAGTAAGTTAATACTTTCTAAGCAAATCAATCGATGTAGATGAAGGGGTAAATCGTAGTGGAAGATAATAAACCCTAGGATGATCTTGAATTTCTGATATCCTAGATGTGAACTATGATTTCGACTACCGAAATCCCCACAGACGGCGCCAAATTGTTTGAACCAAAAGTAAGTTAATACTTTCTAAGCAAATCAATCGATGTAGATGAAGGGGTAAATCATAGTGGAAGATAATAAACCCTAGGATGATCTTGAATATAGAATCAGATGACAATAGTGTAAACAAGGTTAATGAGAGAAAGTGATAAACTTCTCAAAGATAAGAGAGAGATAATGTTAGAGAGAGAGAAAAAAGAGAGATTCTATTTCCAGTAGTCCAAAAGTCCCCCTTTTACAAGGCTTGGATCCTCTTTATATAATAGAGGATTCTTGCTCGAATATTAAAAGGCAAAAAATGAAGCACGTGCTATGGAGTGGCCGACGTGATCGTGAAGTCGTCCCTCTTGTCGTTCATAGGTCGCCCTTTTAGTCGGACTTACGCACACTCGGTCGGTCGTGCTGGCTTGAAGAACGTGGTTGGTCAAATTCGACCCTATCCAGTTAGTCCCTCCGCTCGTCGGGGTCGCAGCGAATGCGTCCTCGATGGGCGGGATCGATACCTCCGTTCCGGGAGAGTTTGACTTTGTCAATGACTTGTGACGTGACAAGCAGGGGACAGTAATCATGACTGTCAGATTGTTGAAGCGAAACGCCCTTCCTCGTGTGACGTCAGCATTCATATGCGTCATCATTGTGCGTATTCTCGAGGCAAGGGGATCAGAAGCTTTTGGCGCCTGGTTTCCTGTGCCGATTCGACGTCTGCTCCTTCGATTCTGGCGCCAACCAGCCCTATAAATAGGAGAAGGGTTTAACTTGATTCGAACTTTGGTCATTTGCAAGAGAGTTCCAGACCTTCAATACATGATTCTTTTGTTGGGTTGCGCTTAGCTCTTTCCTTCACTGAAAGCCATACATAAACCTTGCCGATCTAACGAGAGGGTCCCGGCGGCTGCCCCTTCGAACGTGCCGCTGCCTTCTGACGGTGGAGAAGTGGGGGAAGAAGACGTCAGTCCTCTCACTGTGGAGGCATTACTGCCAAAACATATATTATCTCGGAGTGATTTTAGTAAAGATTCCCCCATACTGACTCCAGAGTTTTCGGAGTCGTTACAGAACCACTTGGATGATCTCCGCACGAAGTATGGCATACTTGCCTATGTAGAGATGGTTCCGGCGGGGAGGGATTACGTGGACGTTCACCGGCCAGGATATTGTGCCTTTTCTGAATACTCCTTCTCGATTGGTTACAGCCTCCCTCTTTTCCCATTGGCGGAGGAGTTTTTTCGGTTCTATAATGTGTGTCCGGCTCAACTTACGGCGTATACTCTGAAGGTGTTTCGGCTGCTTACTAAGTACGCGGAGTTGGCCGGATGCGAAGTCACGGTCCATCACCTCCTTCAGCTATTCAATGCCTGCTATCTAAGGGGGACCATGGTGCATCTGAGAGGCCGTGGCACGAAAGGGTTGGTGGTCAAAACCGACGACGGAGCGAGTCGTGGGTTCTGGCGCAAGTATTTTTTTATTAGGGCCGAGCACATGGTCTCTAATCCTGCCGGGTTCCCAGAGAGGTGGAACTCGAAACGTAAGTATTTATAGTTTGTCAGTTTCTGTGTTACTTCGTGACTGTTGCCATTCTGACCTTTATATTGCAGCTATGGCTCACCCGCCCCGGCCCGTTGCCAACCTTAGGAAATGGGTTATGGGCTTGCTTCCTTACGCGGAAGAGACCCGCACTTGGCCTGCCTTCTTGCAGCGTTACGACCCCAAAGTCTCTTCAGGTAGATTTTCGATTTTTGCTTTGTAAATTCTGCAACTTTGCTTACTTATTTTAATGGCGACAGGTCGAGGCGCTTCCAGGAAGAGGGTGTCGGTCCCCGCTCCCCATCGATTTGACGTTGCCTCGGCCGCTCATGACATACTGGTTGAGTCTGTCCGAGGGGATCCTTCTCCAGCTCCTTTACAGGGGGCCACATCTATGACCATGGTTATGTGGGAGTCGGCATCGCTGGTGCCGACTCTGCACCCCGTGGACGGACCCTCTGATGGCGGGGAATCGCTAGACAGAAAATGGAGAAGGCTTGAGAAGGGTAAGGGGTGGCCACCGAGGCCGAAGGAAGTGATGTGCCCCCACCGACGTGCAGACCATTCATGGCCGACGCTATTCGGTCTGGGAGACCGGCTCGTCAGAGGGGTGCTGCTCCCGGTGCTGGTTTCGCACCTGCCGTTGAGGGGGGATCGTCGACCAACGTCGAAGGACCAAGCGAGGGAATGGAGAGATCGGACTCCGACATTGCTCAAGATGATGTCGACGAGTTTGTGGGTGGCCTCACCCACGTGGAGATGACGTCAGATGGGTCCGACCGCCGCGTTACGATTCCGGCGGTTTACAACTTGCTGTTAAACAACGAACAGGTTGCTTCGGCCCTTACCCTGCTGTGTGCCGCCCCCGAGAGCAAGACGCTCAGTACCGTGGAGGATGCGGAGCTGTCACGGAAGGTTTATGGCATGGGTTTGCAGGTAATTCCTTGTTCCCTTTTTTTCCTTCCGCGTGTGGTAAGACTGATTCGAGGCGTGCTCACTTCTGCTTTTCTCTTTAGACCCTTGTTTTGGAGGTGGAGAGGGGGCGCCGTGAGCAGAAACGGATGGCCCTTTATAAGAAGATGCTGAAAAAGTATCGAAGGTATCGCTCTAAGCACAGAGCGGTGGTTGAACGGGGCCAGTCCCAGTTGGAACGTAGGGGGGCCGAGCTGGAGGAGGCAGATAGCGAGCTGATGAAGGCCGTAGCCCGCAACAGCGAGTTGGAGGTGCTTCTCAGAACGAAAGATGACGAGCTTGAGCTGAGCCGTGGGGTGGCAGCGGAGAACATCGACCTGCAGCGGAGGGTGGCGGACTTAACCGCCGAGCTCGATGCTAGGATGGCAGAGAATAATGGACTTTCTCAGCCCTCCTCATCTCGTCCTTCGCCTGGTCGGGGTATGCGTCGTAACGCGCATGAGATGCGGGTATTTGCGGAGGACAAGCTCGACGTATATAGGGAGCTTCATGTCGCGCGCCGGGCGACAGAGGAGGAGGTTCGGGCACGACGAGACGAGGCTCGTGCTGCTCGTGAGGCCTGCGGTTATTACCCCGACTCTCCTGATGGGGAGGGGCCTGCTTCTGAAGACGTCAACCGGCTCGACTCCAGCTCCTGGTACAATGACGTTTACTTCCCAGGGGGTGACGGGCAGTCGTGAACTTGTATAGTGTATATATATATATTTTTTAAGGCTTGTATAGTGTGTTGGAGCTTGTCCATGGGGGCGGATGTAAATATATTTTTGTTGCAATATAGATTTTATTTTTATTGCCTCGTCCATTTGGTGTTTCCCCTTTATTTTTCTTATGTAACGTTTAACCTCCGTAGAGATTGTTCTTATCGTTCGTCGAAGGATCGTGCCGTGACTCGAACGAGATTGAACCGACGTTCGATGGCCTCGGCCATAAGGATGTTGCCTCGATTGTCGTCGAGGTAGTATCCGTCGAAGTTCAAACGAGGTCGAACCGATGTCGATGGCCTTGGCTATTAAGATGTTGCTTCGACTGTCGTCGAAGCGGTATCGAAGTTCGAACGAGGTCGAACCGATATCGATGGCTTTGGCCATTAAGATGTTGCTTCGACTGTCGTCGAAGTGGTATCCACCGAAGTTCGAATGAGGTCGAACCGATGTCGGTGGCCTTGGCCATTAAGATATCTCTTCGACTGTCGTCGAAGCGGTATCCGTCTAAGTTTGAATAAGGTCGAACCGATGTCGATGGCCTTGGCCATTAAGATATTGCTTCGACTGTCGTCGAAGCGGTATCCGTCGAAGTTCGAACGAGGTCGAACCGATGTCGATGGCCTTGGCCATTAAGATGTTGCTTCGACTGTCGTCGAAGCGGTATCCGTCGAAGTTCGAACAAGGTCAAACCGATGTCGAAGGCCTTGGCCATTAAGATGTTGCTTCGACTGTCGTCGAAGCGGTATCCGTCGAAGTTCGAACAAGGTCGAACCGATGTCGATGGCCTTGGCCATTAAGATGTTGCTTCGACTGTCGTCGAAGCGGTATCCGTCGAAGTTCGAACAAGGTCGAACCGATGTCGATGGCCTTGGCCATTAAGATGTTGCTTCGACTGTCGTCGAAGCGGTATCCGTCGAAGTTCGAACGAGGTCGAACCGATGTCGATGGCCTTGGCCATTAAGATGTTAATTCGACTGTCGTCAAAGCAGTATCCGTCGTGGGATGGAGATTCCCGTTCATTCATTGGAGACTTCTGTTCATACAATGGAGATTTCTGTGCATACAATGGAGAATTTTGTTCATTCAATGGAGATTTTTGTACATACAGTGGAGATTTCTGTGCATACAATGGAGAATAATGTGCCTATACTGGAGAGTAACGTGCCTATGATGGAGAGTAACTAGTGTAGTCCCTTCACTATATTGGCTCATGGCTCGTGTCGATTGGCCAATATGGTGAATCTGCGCTCCTGTTCCACCGGGTACCCCCTTTGCTGTCTCGTTAAAAACCTCCCCGAGAAAACCCAATTGGGACAAAACTCGGGTCAGGGAAAAACAGTATGACTCAGGAGATGCCTTTCAGAAGTGGAAGTATTTGAGGTGGGCGACGTTCCAATTGTTTTGGAGCGGTTTTCCTTCCATCATTTCTAGTTGGAATGCCCCTTTGTTCGCTGCTGCAATGATTTTGTATGGTCCGTCCCAATTGGTTCCCAATTTCCCTTCGTTCGGATCTCTTGATGCCAGTGTTTTGGCTTTGAGGACATAGTCGCCAACTTTGAGTGATCTTACTTTGGCTTTCTTGTTGTAGTATCTTTCCGCTTGCTGTTTCTGGGCTGTCATCCTTATATGAGCCATGTCTCTTCGTTCTTCGGATTCGTCCAGGTCTTGTAACCTGCTTTCATCGTTATCCGCTCCACTGGTATGGGAATATCTCAGGCTTGGCTCTCCGATCTCGACGGGTATGACTGCGTCGGTCCCATAGACCAGTGAATGCGGTGTTTCTCCCGTGCTGGATTTGGGCGTAGTCCGGTAGGCCCATAATACTTCAGATAATAATTCGGGCCATGACCCTTTAGCGTCTTCGAGCTTCTTTTTCAATATGTTCAATATTGTTTTGTTGGAAGACTCGGCTTGGCCGTTGGCGGCGGGATGATACGGGGTGGAGAGTATCTGTTTGATGTGCTATTTCTCGAAGAATTCTGTTGTTTTTCTTCCGATGAACTGGGGTCCATTGTCACAGCTGATTTCTTTAGGGATGCCGAAGCGGCAAATGATATTTTTCCATATAAAGGCGATGACCTCTTGCTCGCGTATTTGTGCGTACGCACCTGCTTCTACCCATTTAGAAAAATAGTCAGTCAAAACTAGAAGAAAGCGTACCTTTCCTCGTCCTGCCGGTAGAGGGCCGATTATGTCCATTCCCCACTTTATGAAGGGCTATGGCGAGGTGACTGAATGGAGGAGTTCCCCTGCCTGGTGTATCATGGGGGCATATTTTTTGCACTGCTCGCATCTTTGAACATAATCTGCTGCTTCTTTCTTCATGGTAGGCCAGTAATAGCAGGCGCGGATGAGGCATCAAACAAGGGCGCGGTTTCCTGTGTGGGCGCCACAATGGCCTTCGTGCACCTCTTCTAATACTTGCCTTGTTTGATGCAGCCCGAGGCATTTGGCAAGGGGACCTCCGAATGTTCTTTTGTAGAGATCGTGGTTGATCAGGCTGTATCGGGCAGCCTGTACCCGGAGTTTCTTGGCTTCTTTTTTGTCGTGTGGGAGCGTTCCGTCCTGCAGGTAGGATACAAACTGGTTGCGCCAGTCCCAAGTCAAGTTTAAAGAGAATACCTCGACATGGTCGACGGCCGAATGGAGGAGAGTCACCACATTTTCTTTGTTGATATTCTTGGTGGTTGCGGCTAGTTTAGCTAGGCTATCTGCCTCAACGTTTTGTGCCCTGGGGATTTGTTCGAATCGACATTCGTCGAACTCATGCATCAGCTTGCGGATCTCTGATTGGTATTTTTGTAGCCGTTGTTCTTTGATTTGGTAAGTTCCGGTGACTTGATTTACGACAAGTTGGGAGTCGCAGTGGAGGATGAGCCGACGGGCCCCGTATTTGATGGCTAATTTCATGCCTGCAATCACAGCCTCATACTCGACCTCGTTGTTAGTCATCTCGGGACATCGTATGGACTGGCGAATTACTTCGCCCGTGGGGACCTCGAGGACGAGTCCCAGTCCCGATCCCGAGGCATTCGCAGCGCCGTCAGTGTAGAGGGTCCAGAGGTCAGTACGAGCAGAAGCGCGGAGGGCTTCTTGTTCCACCTCTGGCAGTATCCCTGTACTGAAATCGGCGACAAAGTCGGCAAGTACCTGTGACACTATGGCGGTTCTTGGGTGGTAGGTTATGTCATGCTCGCTGAGCTCTATGGCCCATTTGGCGAGCCTACCCGAGAGCTCGGGTTTGTGTAGGATGCCTCTTAGGGGGAAGGTTGTTATTACCTTTATGGGATGGCATTGAAAATAAGGTATGAGCTTTCGTGAAGCCACGACCAGTGCCAGAGCCAGTTTTTCGAGGTGGGGGTACCTCGTTTCGGCATCTATGAGTGTTTTGCTGATATAATAAATAGGGGATTGTGTACCTTTGTTTTTGCGGACCAAGACGGCGCTGACAGCGACTTCGGATACTGCCAGATACACAAGCAGGCACTCGCCTGGGTCTGCTTTGACGAGCAGTGGTGGCGAAGATAGGTATGCTTTCAATTTCTTCAGGGCCTCGATGCATTCTTTGTTCCATTGTAGTCCATGATCTTTCTTCAGCACACTGAAGAATTTATGGCATCTGTCCGAGGACCGCGAGATAAACCTTGATAAGGCGGCTATTCGCCCCGTTAGTTTCTATACCTGTTTCTTGCTGTGCAGAACCTCGGGTATTGTGTCTATAGCCTTAATCTGGTCTGGGTTGACTTCGATGCCTCGTTGCGATACGAGGAAACCTAGAAATTTCCCCGAGGCTACGCCGAAGGCGCATTTTTCTGGGTTCAATTTCATCCCATACTGCCTCAGTATCTCGAAGGCCTTCTTTAAATGGTCGATATGGTCTTCCTTCTTAACCGACTTCACTAGCATGTCGTCGATGTAGACCTCCATTGTCTTACCAAGTTGTTCCTTGAACATCTTGGTGACCAACCTTTGGTATGTTGCACCCGCGTTTTTCAGTCCGAAGGCATCACCTTGTAGCAGTACGTCCCTTGATGGGTGATGAAAGTTGTCTTTTCTTGGTCCTCTTCGGCCATTAAGATTTCGTTATAGCCAGAGTAGGCGTCCAAGAAACTTAACAGCTCGTGCCCTGCTGTTGCATCGATCAGCTGGTCGATATGGGGCAACCGGAAGGAGTCTTTTGGGCATGCCTTGTTTAGGTCGGTGAAGTCTACGCACATTCTCCATTTCCCGTTTTTCTTTTTAACCATGACCACGTTGGCGACCCATTGGGGGTACTTTGATTCCCTGATGGAACCGTTGGCTAGTAGTTTATCTACCTCTTCACTGACCGCCTCGTTGATTGCAGCGTTGAATTTCCTTCTTACCTGCCTTACGGGCGGATAAAGTGGGTCGACGTTCAGCTTGTGAGTGTAGATGTCTTTCGGAATCCCCGGCATATCTGAATGAGAGAAAGCAAATAAATCTGCATGGTTAGTTAAGAATTCGTGGTACTTACCTGGGGTCGGAGAGATTGTGTCCGATGTAGGCTTTCTTTGAACTGTCGGTACCGTCCAATTGTTCTCGATTGTCGCCTTGCAGGTTTCTACGACATCCAGGTCCCTAATAACCTCTGTCGTCGGGTTGATTTTGGTTCCCGACATGGCCGATTGCTATGCTTTCGTGCTTGCTCCCTTCAACTGTTTGGTATGTACGCAATCTTGGGCAATTCGGTAATATTTCTGGGCGGTACGTGGCTCACCTCGAATGCTGAATATTCCCCATGGGGTGGGAAATTTGATTACTTGATAGAGGCTCGAAGGGATGGCCCGCATGGCATGTATCCAGGGACGTCCCATGATGACGTTGTAGGCCGTTTCCTGGTTCATGATGTGGAACGTGGTTTCCAGCGTGACTCCCCCCGCCAGGACGGGCGGTGATATCTCTCCGGAGGTTCTCTCTACTGCATTGTTAAAACCCGTTAGTGTTATGCAACGCGGTATTATCTTATCTTCGAGCCTCATTTGCATGAGGACTCTTGGGTGGATAATACACGTGTCGCTTCCGTCGTCTACCATGATTCTTTTCACATCGGTATCAGCAATGCGTAAAGTTATAACTAAAGCATCATAATGAGGGAAAGACAAACCGTCGGCATCAGACTTATCGAAGGTGATACCATCTTCGAAGTCATCATACCGTTCGTGAGCGATCGTGCGTTTCAACTTGTGTGTGGTGGTGAACTTTACATGGTTGATTGCCGAGTCGTCGCTGCCGCCGACGATCATCTGTATGGTGCGCGCTGGAGAAGGTGGTTTTGGTGGTCCTTGGGATTGGTCGCGTCCTCTGGCGAAATTAGTCCTTCCTTTATCGCTGAGTAGCTCCTTCAGGTATCCCTGGTTCAGCATTCTGACCACCTCCTGCCGTAGACCTATGCAATCTTCGGTTTTGTGTCCTCTTTCCTGATGGAATTCGCATAGGACGTTCGACCTTCTTGCACTAGGGTCTGACTTCATTTTTTGTGGCCACTGCACCTTCGTGCCCAGCTTTTCCAGTGCGTACACTATTTCTGAAGGGGAGACACAAAAGTTATGAGTGGATAATAATGGGGGCATACCTCTTTCATTTCGAAGCGGGGCGACATGTCGCTGCACGGCATCTGGATGTCTTGGAGGAGGCGGGTTAGGAGTTCTGACGTAAGGCTGGTGCCTTTCTCTGTTGAAGCGTGGGAGTGGTTCCCGTCGCCCGTCGTTGCGTCGGTCCCTCCTTACTTCTGATTGTATGGACGTTAGTCGTTGGGTTGGGCCGTTAAGGTCGTCTTCATCCGCTCTGACTTCGGCGCAATAGGCATTGTGGATCTCTTCCCACGTGGTGGGGGGATACTTCATGAGCCGATTGAGCAGCTTTTTGGTTGCTTTGGATCCATCTCTGTTCAGCCCGTTTTGGAAAGCTGCCACCGCCATTCCTTCTGATACGTTTGGCAGTCCCATTCTTACCCTGTTGAATCGTGCCAGGAAGTCCCTGAGTCCTTCACCCGTTGTTTGCCTGATGGCGAAGATGTCGTTGACCCTAGCTTCGGCTTTCTTTGCTCCTGCGTGGGCGGTGGCGAACTTGTCCGCCATCTCTTCGAACGTTGATATCGATCTGGCCGGCAACTGAGAGTACCATGTGAGTGCTCCTCCCGTCAAAGTCTCCCCAAACTTTTTCAGCAACACAGATGGCACCTGTTCTTTCGATAGGTCATTGCCTTTTACGGCGGTCACGTAATGAATCAGGTGATCTTCTGGATCCGTGGTCCCGTCGTATATTTTCAAGTATGGTGGCATCTTGAAGGTTTTGGGGATTGGGTGAGGAGCAGCTTCCTCATTATATGGTTGCTCGACGAATCTCCCCATATCGCGTTTCGGCAGTAGCTTAGGGGCGCCAGGTATCTTGTCTACCCTCTCCTGGTGCTCCTTCATTTGATCACGAAGTGCTTTATTCTCGTTCTCCATCTCCTCCATTTTCTTAAGGATGGCTGTGAGCGCATCGTTGCTTGTATTGGAGTCAGTGTGGGCGTTACCTGTTCGTGCAACGCTGGGCTCTCCGATGGTGGTGGTGATTTCTGCCATCAATGGATCTGTGATATTTCCCTGAGGTGGTTTCTCGAGCATGCTACTTAGAGTGTTTGTTAACCATTCCTCTAGTAGCTTTTTGACTACTGGGGGCATTTCCGTTGCTGCAGGTGTAGAAGTCCCTCTTTCATTTCGTTAGATCTTCAAGTGAGGAGGGTGAGATCTCCCCCTCCGGTATGTTACTTGGTGTTATATTTGCGGTGTTTTCTCTGCCTGCTTTGTTGAGTGGGCCTATGAGGTTGGTTGAGATGTCTGCTATCATCTTCAACCTTGACTCTTTGTCTGCCATTTGTTAGTTTCTATGAGATCTGAAGAACAACGATGGTTGTTTCTGATATCCTAGATGTGAACTATGATTTCAACTACCGAATTCCCCACAGATGGCGCCAAATTGTTTGACCCAAAAGTAGGTTAATACTTTTCAAGCAAATCAATCAATGTAGATGAAGGGGTAAATCGTAGTAGAAGATAATAAACCCTAGGATGATCTTGAATATAGAATCAGATAACAATAGGATAAACAAAGTTGATGAGAGAAAGTGATAAACTTCTGAAAGATAAGAGAGATAATGTTTGAGAGAGAGAGAAGAGAGAGATTGTATTTTCAGTAGTGCCCCTTTTTACAGGGCTTAGATCCTCTTTATATAATAGAGGATCCTTGCTCGAATATTAAAAGGCAAAAATTAAAGTACATGTTATGGAGCGGCCGACGTGATCTTGGAGTTGTCCCTCTTGTTTCTCATAGGTCGCTCTTCTAGCCGGGCTTACGCACACTCGATCGGTCGTGCTGGCTTGAAGAACGTAGTTGGTCAAATTCGACCCCATACATCCATAAGCTTCTAATACCACATAAATGACTTCAGTTTCAATGGCTTTGAGAAATTATACAGATTGCTCAGTCTAGTAATTTATGTTCAACGGGGTTTTTTCCTTTTCAATAATTATATTCAAACTCTAGTAGTTCTAAAAGAGAATTTAATGTTTTCATGTTGTAGTTCTTCTATTTGGGGGAACTGGATTTCTCTGAGGTACCAATTAAGTTAAGCATTTTATTTCTCCTCTAGGCAATTTGAAAATACAAGATGCAAAAAGTACTAAATGATGCAGAGAAACGCCTGTGGAATGTTAGACGTTAAAAAAATCTACTGATAATAATATGCTGGTGTGAATTTTCTGTGTATTCCAATAATTATTTTTACAGGTATAAATACAAGAGAATGAAGGAATAATGAAATCCTATTTATACATTTGTCTATTTTCTACTAGCTAATGTGTAACTACCATTCCCTGCTATACATCAATAAAATTTCCTTTTATCTAATTACAATACACGTATGAAAGATCTATCTAGAGAGTGCCACTGATACTCAAAGGTAAGTTCTATAAAGTGGTGGTTAGACCGGCTATGATGTATGGGGCTGAGTGTTGGCCTGTTAAGAACTCACATATCCAGAAGATGAAAGTAGCAGAAATGAGGATGTTGAGGTGGCTGTGCGGGTACACTAGGATGGATAAGATTAGGAATGATGATATTTGGGAGAAGGTGCACGTGGCTTCCATTGATGACAAGATGCAGTAAGCGAGGCTAAGATGGTTTGGGCATGTTCAGAGGAGAAGCCCAGATGCTCCGGTAAGGAGGTGTGAGCGGCTGGTTGTGGAGGGCATGAGAAGAGGTAGAGGGCGGCCTAAGAAGTATTGGGGAGAGGGGATCAGGCAGGATATGGCGAGGCTTCAGATTTTCGAGGACATGACACTTGATAGGAAGATGTGGAGGTCGAGTATTAGGGTTGTAGGTTAGGAGGTAGTTGAGTCTTGCCTTACTTCGTGCCATTGTGAGACTAGTCTAGAAGGGTTTTTGTCTAAGATAGCTAGTGGCAATTGTGTCTTAATATTTCGCCTTTCAGTGCAGGACCTATTTACTAGCTACCGCTTTTGCTTTACATCTTTCTTCTGGATTTCATGTTGTTCCTATTTTTCCTATGATTTATGTGGTAACACTAATATTGTCTCCTTTTGTCTTTTTGTTTTCTTGAGCCGAGGGTCTTTTGAAAACAGCCTCTCTACTCCTTCGGGATAGGGATAAGGTATGCGTACACACTACCCTCCCCAAACCCCATTAGTGGGATTTTACTGGGTTGTTATTGTTGTATGAAAGATCTATCTAGAAGATGCAAAATAAAATGCTTGACAGCTGTGTAATCTCTTCTAATATCAATGGCTAGGATTGAATCAATCAATTAATAGATGAACGGTCATGATGCTTGATTATATATCTTGAATCTTTCAGACACTTCAAAGTCTTCAAAGTCTGACCAAAGTCGATCAACTTCACATTTCATCTCTGCTTCATCTTGTCTTCTTCTTTCAATTTTTGAGTCTTCTATAAATCAAAATCACCTGGTAAACCATCTAAAATTCCTATGCCAACATCCCCCCTCAAGTTGGAGGGTGGAGAAATCACCCCCAACTTGCGCAAAACAGATATGTAAGTAGAGCCGAAAAGGGGTTTCGTGAAAACATAGCGAGTTGAGAATTTGACGGAACGAGCGACAGAGAAATCAAGCCAGCCAGGTATTGTTGCCGCACAAAGTGGGAATCAAGGTCAACATGCTTGGTACGCTCATGGAATACGACATTTTTGGCGATATGAATCGGCGCTTGACTATTGGAGTGAAGCGGCACCAGAAGTGGCGGAGAGATGGATAAATCCTGTAGGAGGCGTACAAGCTAGGTGATTTCAGCCACCACACGGTGCATGGACCGGTATTCAGCTTCAGCCGATGACAAAGGAACCAAAGACTGTTTCTTTGACTTCCATGAAACTGGAGATCCTCCTAGAGTGATGAAATACCCGTTGATGGAGCGTCGAGAGTAAGGGCATCGTCCCCAATCAGAATCACAGAAAGCTGGTAGGTCAAAAGAGGAACTTGAAACAAGAATAAGACCATACTTAGATCTGTGAGCAAATATCCCAAACAACGCAAAGCTACTTCAAAATGGGGAACACAGAGAGCCTGCATATATTGGCTCAAGAGCTGAACAACAAAAGA